ATGAAACTGACCTAAGAAAGTGTTATTCCAAAGACGGTTTGGTATCAGCCTGATTTGCAAGTTAAATATAAAGGGTGAATAATAAAAAAAATGTGAACTGCAATGTAGAATATGCAAAGAACTCCCAGTATAAATCCAGTGACGTGCAAAACGACATTTGCAGGTCACTGGATCCTCATTTCTGACATACCTGGCAGCCGTGCTCGAGCAGAAGCTGCAGGATGTCCAGGTTTTCATTCTCGATGGTGATGGTCACCGCGTCCCGGCCCAGCACATCCACACAGTTGACGTTGAGCTCCCCATGGCGGTTCTCCTCCAGCAGCTTCTTCACCATGTAATAGTCACCTGAGGAGACAAAATTGTTCATAAAACTCACAAGTGGCTTTCAAGTGATTCTTTCGAAGATGTTTAAAGGAGACGCCCCCAGACCTCAGCAGTAGTTACAAGGAAAGTGGTGAGACAGAACAGGAAGCAGCCTCCTAAATCTTTACTTAACAATAACATCTCCCTCAAAGCAGAATAACTTGGCTTCTCCGCTGTGTTTACAGAGGCTTTATATGGTGAATCTGTGAACTTATCAATGACTCGTTGAGAATGCCCATGCCTCTGTGCTATTTGACCTGCGTTTAACTCATCAGCTTCATCTCCTTGTTAGGAGCTGTGGAGATTCAGCAGATGAATCCTGTAACATGCAGACAGTTACATTACTCATCTACCCCCCCCCACCCCCCACTCCCCGATTTGCGGATTATGTTCTACTGCTGGCCTGACTGCATCACTGCAGGTAAATACGAGCTTCTAGTAAATGAAAAGCCTAACATAGCTCAAAAGGAGGTGAGGGGTGGGGGGGTCGGTAGATGGGCGAACCTTTCTCGCATGCCAGCAGGAAGAGCTTCTCGTCCAGCGTCGTCTCCTCTTTTACTTCTCTCACGTCTTTCAAGGCCAGGAATTTGTCGGGGGAGGAGGTGTCCGTGCCCTGGTAAAGAGCTGCCATTACGACGGAGAGCGAGTACGGCCAAGCACTGATGTGCATCCCACTAGAAAGCTGCGAACATCACACAAGAAAGCCCGTCATCGTCCTTGTTACTGCTATGTGTGGCTGGACAGTGGAGGAATCCTTCCAGGAAGCGAGTCGGAGCGGAACGGAGGCAGGTTTACAGCGTCGTCATCGGGAGAAATCTTCCTGTGTGGTCAACACACTCCGAGGCGTTGCGTTCTCTTTAGTGCGTCTAAACACAACCTTCCCGCTACCGACTATCCGACCTCAGGCTCGATTAAACTGGATTAACGGAGTCGAACGACTGCTTACGCCAAGAAAAACAAAAATGTCATTCCTTTCGCCGTGTTTGCACGCACCATCTTCTGTCCCACATCGCAGGTTTGCTGCTGGGATCTTTTTGGTCCTGATGCTGCTGACGAGGACGCTACTGCGCATGTTTCCTCCTCCGAGTCGCACGCGCTTCCTTCGTGCGCGCGCAGCGCAGTGTGCGTGTGTGTGTGTGTGTGTGTGTGAGACTCAGAATTACGTAACAGTGCTGCTTTGTGTACTGTTTGTGCTGACCGTATAGGCTGTGCAGAGGCAGAGACTTGAAATGTTATGCAGCAAAAAGCGCACAATGCTGCAAGTTATTTACAGAGCTTTGCTACAGCATTTATGCACCTGCATTTATTTGCACGCTGTACTGTTAAACATCAAACCATCCTCTTTTTTTAATACTATGCGGAGTATATGTCCCTGCTATTATGATATATTAAGCAAATATTATTCTAAAGTTGCTCTTTGATTGCAGCGTTTGATTTATTAGGTATTATTGTTTTTGCGGGGGAGAGGCATTGTTTGGTGACCCTGAAAAAAGCTAATTGAAATTTTCACAGCTTTCCTTCAGCAAAGGGAGGACATTTTTTTTTTTTTTTACCATTCTTTAATAAAGGACAGTTTTGTGGGGTGCATGGCAAATATGTCAACAAATACTGGCACTTTAGGTATGGATGTTTGTAGTTCATCTTGTTTGTTGCTTCTGTGAATAATGTTCTCCTAGCAGGGCTTGTCAATTTAGATTTAGATGGTCAGAAATGATTTGCTAGATTTGCAGTTAGATGATATTATTTTCATGATGAATTACAAATTGGCTACACTACAAACACTGTTATGCAGGCATCGGATTGCCTTTATCTAATATCTTGTATCTGTATCTATAAACTAAACGATAAAAGTAATTTTAAAAAAATGGATAAAGCAATGTTTCTTGCGGTGTCCTAAGTTTAGGAAACTGATTTACATTCCTCTCCAACTTCATTTCATACTTACCTGGTGTGTTCCTTGATCTTTACTGTTTTTTTATTTTTTATTTTATTTTTTAACAGATCTTTGAACCACCTTCACAAAACCGCTACATTTATATTTTGATTAATATACATCCATACTTACATACATGCATTCTTTTTACTGTACAGATGACTTTGTTGTTTGAAATGGAATTCATATCATGGTATCAGAGCAAAAGAGACTGAACACACTTGTCAAATTCTTATTATTAAAAAACCCCCAAAAACAAACAACCAAAAAAAAACAAAAAACCAAAAAAAAAAAAAACATGTATCATTTAATCTTAATCTTTTGAAAACACATTGAAAGTGTTTTCAAAAGATCAAAACATTGATAGAATATAACTACTTTTTCTAGACTCCGTATCTCAGCACACTGGGCTAGAAATCGTATCAAAGTTTATGTCTGGGTTATTTTCTGCATTAAATTCAGTGGCCGGTAATGGAGGCTTAACTGTGCAATAGATATGTTTGGACATCTATTTGTGAAATTAATTATATCTAGACTGATGGAGTCCTTGCCAGGCCTTAATGGAGCAGATGTGGAGTTTTCCACCAGCATGTCAGAACACTTAACATCTTTAGATGTTTTACCAGAGAGGACTGAGGAAGTTGGGATTATTTTTGCAGTTTGACAAAATAGTACTAGCAGCTATAAACATAAATAAAAAAGTTCTGTCAAGATGAAAGCCTGGCAGGCAGTTGGGTAAAAAGAAGATTTTACATGAAATCCAGACTCAATCCCTTAAAATGATTTGATAAGAAGCAGTTCAGGCCTATGTGTGCTGTTGGATAAAAAGTTATCCTTTATCCTGCACATTTTATGTGTTCTATATGCAAAGTAAACTCTGAATTTATCAAATTAAATGGCTGATGTATTGATTCAACAAATACTCTTTTTTTTTTCTAATTTGACATTATTTATTCACTTCACCTTTTATTTGCTACTACTTATATTGAAAGAAAAAAAAATTGAATGTAACGGTTACTTAACGAATCACTACATTGAAATAGGCCCATGTCTTAAATTTCTGGGGGTTTTATATAAATTAAATGCGTTGCATTGATTGTGTTATTGTGAGGGGTGAACACGCCGTTATCCAGCAGAGGGCAGTCTGTTCAAAGTTTTTAGAACATCTGCAAGCATTTTTACTACCGATGAAGCATGTGTATTATGCAGACAAATGCGGTCATATTCTTTACAAAGCAAGGAAATTTTAATTATCTTTTTAGATCATTAGGGATAATTTAAGGATTTTCGCTGAAAAAGCTGATATTCCATTGTGATTACTATTTTTTTTAAATATATTTATTATTTTTATATATATATATATATATATATATATATATATATATATATATATATTTTATGAAATAAGAAAAACCCATGTGGCCATTACAGATGGGCAAACTTATGGTTAGGGTTAAATGATCATTTCACCCGATCACTGCCACACTAACGTCTCCGGTCATTAGTCATAATGTTATGCCTGAACAGATAGAAAAAAATCAATCCCGAGACTGGAGTGGTGAAAACATGCACTTAATCTGGGACGCTAAGTCCTCCCAACAGACAAGTTTCCCATCTAATGTACATAAAAGTAGATGAAATAGAACATATTTTGTATTAAAGTATGGATTTCAGTACACGATGCGATGTGGGGCCGTGAAATAATGAAGAGCTTCAAAGCGCTTTCTCTTGAACTTTTTTTAAAGGCAGGATGGGTGGAGACCTCTATGGCTTATAATAAAAGCTTTCACGATGAGCCATCTCTGCACAACACAGATGTACAACAGTGAGATCAACATCATACGTTAACATGAGGCCACATTTTGAGTGGCGTTGTTGTTGAGACACAAAAGCTGTAAAAGACAATTTTGCCAATTTTAGGCCAAGCTCGTGACCGTGCGATGTGTTGTGATACTGTAGAGAAGTGATATATAAATAGTTATGTTGATCATAATTGCAAAACATTCTCTATGCAGGTTGAAGTTACAGTCACGTAAATAATAAGTACATACTTTTATTCTGTTACAACTACTACTAATACTAATTATGCTTGTTGTTATTGTTAATGCTCATATATTACTATTTTATGTTCACTAAAATTTAAGTGAACATTTGTGACACTTCCCTTTTATAATTTCATTATTATTATTATTATTACAACTTAAAATCGTGGACATTTTAAACAAATCTAACATTGTTAAGCATCACAACCAAAAAAATTTAGCTAATTTTAGTGGCTTGGGATATTTTTAAAGTTAAGATACATTTTACGGACATTTAGGTACATTTTACGTGTATTGTCTTTCGAACTAGATGCTCGAGCTTATTTTGATTCACAGATATAGGTCACTTTTGTGTCAGAGGTGGCTTCTATTTAGTAGTAAAAAAGAAGCATATCCTATTTTGCGTAAAGTGATTTATAAAAATGAGCAGAAAAATAAAATTATGTTAATGTTTTATTCAGAAACCCCCTCATTTTTCTCGACGAATTTGTCCCTCACAATATGGCGTGGAAGCTCACGTCTTCTATTCTTTACGTCTCTATGTGGGAGGCGCTGGAGACAGACTGGGGACAAAACCCAATAAAGGAGCTACTTACCGCATTACGTCACCAATTGGACCAATGCAGCGCGTCAGAGGGCGGGCCTCTGCGCCTGCATTTGGACTGAACCCGTTCAGTGTGTGGCAGTTAGACAAGCAGAGGAGGTCGCTATGTGGGAGATTCTTAAATCCGTGACTGCGGATGCAGACTTGGCGCTGCTTTATTGCATCCAGATGATTTGAGCCGTTCGCGCAGGACTCATTTTGATTTGTTGCACCGTGTCTATGTGTGGATCTCAGCCCGGCTGTGTTTTCAAAGATGCATCAGACAGTATCTGCGCAGAGATGCCCCCGCTGAACATGAGCAAACAGGGCGTCTGTTACAATGAAGAAGACGGCGGCGGCTCCTTCCTGTGTTGTTGCGGATCGTTGCAGCGCTCGGTATGGACAACCTAAACGTCTCCATCATCATCATCACCACCATCCACCACCGCTCCAATGAGGAACATTGCGCAGTGCAGTGAATCGGGTTTTTGGAAAATATATTACCTAATCAACTGGAAAATAAATTCCCAGCATACACATTACAGAGCGCGCCTTGGTGCATTACTGTCGATGTAAAGAGCTCTGCCCAGTGGTGGGAGCCACTCTCTCCAGGGGTTACAGATGAGAAGCAAACAATACCATCAACCACTGAAGTTGACAGCGCCTTGGGAGAAGGATGCTGGCTTTGGGAGAAAGCTCAAAACCTACAGGAATCATACCAAGATAATAGCACAGCCTGGGATCGTGATGAAAGTGCTGCGCAGGAAGAGGATTGTGTTATTCATGGCCTATTTCCTGCTGCTGGTGCTCACCATGCTCAATTTGGCCAATTATAAATGGACCAAGGAGCCTCAGCAGTGCAACCATCAGATGAGGAGCACCACCTATCAGAGCAGATCGGACATTCGCTTTCTCTACAGGCCCTCCCTGGCTAAGAAGAGACAGCTCATCTACGTCCTGACCACCTGGAGGTCGGGGTCCTCCTTCTTCGGTGAGCTTTTCAACCAAAATCCAGAAGTGTTCTTCTTGTATGAGCCTATGTGGCACATCTGGCAGAAGCTGTACCCTGGTGATGCGGTGTCTCTGCAGGGGGCGGCCAGAGACATGTTGAGCTCCTTGTATCGCTGCGATCTGTCTGTTTTCCAACTTTACAACAGCCCCGGAGGCAAAAACTTTACCTCCCTAGGGCTGTTTGGTGCCACGCTGAACAAGGTTGTGTGCTCCTACCCCCTGTGCTCAGCCTACAGGAAGGAGGTGGTGGGGATGGTGGATGATAAGGTGTGCAAAAAGTGTCCCCCACAGAGCCTTAGACTGTTGGAGGATGAGTGCCTAAAGTACAACACTATAGTCATTAAAGGGGTGCGCATTTTGGATGTAAACGTTCTCGCCCCTCTGATGGAGGACCCATCCTTGGATCTGAAAGTGATCCATTTGGTTAGAGACCCTCGGGCAGTGGCAAACTCAAGGATCAAATCCAGACACGGCCTGATTAGGGAGAACTTACAGGTGGTCCGCAGCAGGGACCCTAAACTGCGCCGGATACCTTTCGTAGATCCCGGCCACAAGGTCAACAAGAAGGACGGCTCCGACTACCATTCCATCGGAGCCATGGAGGTGATCTGCGACCGCACCTCCAGGACTCTGAGGACTGCCTTGAACCCTCCAGGTTGGCTGAAGGGGAAGTACATGGCCGTGCGGTACGAGGACCTGGTGGAGAACCCCGTCAAGACCCTGAGGAGCGTTTACCGCTTCGCCAACCTCACCACCAACCATGACATTGAGTCGTTTGCGCTGAACATGACCAGCGGCTCCAGCTCCTCCTCCAAGCCCTTCATCGTCTCCTCCCGGAACGCCACGCAGGCAGCCAGCGCTTGGAGGATGGTGCTCAGCATCCAGCAGATCAAGCAGGTGGAAGACTACTGCCACCACTCCATGTCCGTCCTGGGGTACGAGAGGGTGAGAACAGCCGGGGAGGCCAAGGATTTGAGCAAATCGCTGCTGACGCGCTCCAAACTGTGAAGAAAAAAAAAACAAAACAAAAGCATCCTCCTCGCCACCAAAGACCTTTTTAATTTAATGTTCATTTTTCCATGCAGTGCCGTTTCCTCTTATTGTGGAATTAAAGCTTTACGTTCAAGTGTTAAAGGAGCTCCGGCTGGCTACATTTGGAATGTATATCTTGTTTTCGAGCTGCAGTTTGTACACTTCTTTTATACAGGAACACCGGCTGTGGGACAATGACTTAAGATAGGAAACAAAAGGATAATTTATGTATCTTGGTATTACTATGACACTACAAAGTTGATGTTTTTGAAGTTATTTTTGAATGTTTAAAATCTTAAAAAAAAATATATATATATATATATATATATATATATAATTTTTCACTCTCCATACTGTCTGTACAAGTGAAAAGAAAAACTAGTAGATGAAAGGAAAAAAAAAGTAGTAACATATTTTAAAAATCATTTTTATTTTTAATACCCCGTTAAAGTCAGAGACAATCAGTGATTTGGTTTGATGACGTGCCATAGTTAGAAGTCTCATCAGAACAGCAGTAGTACTTTATACAGTTGTTTTTTTTTTTTTTATCTGTCATTTCATTTTGTGACAACGTCCTTGTAGGATGTTGACATGCACTGTGGACTTTTGGTCATAACTCTGGAGCAGGACAACCTCTCTTTGTGTCAGTGTGAGCATTCTGTTCTACCATCTTCAAATGTTTACAATTGCTTGCTCTTATGAAAACACCTGAACTAAAAAAATAATATTGCATTGAGTAAAGTTCACAGTAAATGACTTTATGCATCATTTGTGAGTGTAACATTTTCAAACTGAAGAAATATTCAGTCTCATTTTGCTTGTGTCTAGACTTTGAAATTAGTTAGTGCTTTGAAACATAATTTGCCTCCTAACAGAGTTTCTGTTTTTCACTTTTTTTTTGACACACTTGTATGTTACAAGATAAAATGAGTAAATACAACATGTGCTGTTTAAGTTATGATTTGATTTATTTGGGGAAAAAGCTGTTTGAACCATATATGTGAATATTTTACATCACCACGGAGAAATTTTGGCCAATGCTTGTTTTACTATAGGCCAAGTCACCGCGTGTTTAGTAGGATTTTTATCCAGACTTTGACTAGGCCATTCTAAAATTGTCCTTTTTATTGTTTGTGAGCTATTTGCTGGTGTATTGTTTCCTGCTTTGTAATCCAAGAGCACTTGATCTTAAGCTAGTGAAATGATGGCCGTCGGGATCTTTTGCTAGAGAGCAGAATTCATGACTTCATCAATTACGACAATTTGTCTAAGTCCTGACGCAACAGACTCTCACTCTACTCTGACCCTGTTTGACTGTGGGTATGACGTTTGTTCTCTGAAATGCTGTTTTAGTTTTACAGCAGGCTAAACTGGATACACTTCTCCCAAAAGTTAGACCTTTATTTTCATCAGTCCATAAAACATTTTCTCTGAAGTATCATAGAGTAGTCAAGATGTTGGTCATGAACAACGACCTTAACTGAGGCAAGTGATCTCTGCGGTGCTGTAGATGTCGTTCTGGGCCGTTTTGTGAACTCCTGGATGAGTTTTTGATGCATTCTTTGTGTTACCATGGCAGGTCTCCCACTGGGAACAAACACTGATGTTTTATATGATGTTTATTTATGGCTAATGTCTCACACTGTGGTTTGCTCAGATCTAACGCCGTAGCTGAGGTTCTGTAACCCCTCTCAGATTGATGATTATCTAGTATTTTGCTTCTCATTTGTTTTTTAATTTTTTTCAGCATGGGGTAAGACATGTTGTTGAAAATTTTCCATCTGTTTCACAGTTTAATCATAGCTCAGTCATTGTGTAATAAGAGGAGGAGTTGCATCACCGGCTTGGTTTGGATGGCTTATTTCCTTAAACAAATGAAATTATAATTTTCCAAAATTTCATTTTGTATTTACTCAGGTTATCTTTGTTTGATATTGAAATTACTTTTATGATCCGAAACAACAGAAGTGTGACAAAAAAGTGAAATAAATTTGTAAGGGAGGACAGTTTTTTTCACAACACTGTATTTCTGCAAGCAATAGTACCACCGCAAAGTCATACATTTGTTGCCAATGGCTACATATCCTAGGGGTGCCCTATGGCGTTTGGTAAATATACTTTTTGTTTACGCTCAACGGTAATCGGCGTGGATGGAGTGTGTGGAACAGACCAGATGTTTTAAAATTATTTCCCCTTGAAAAATTCCTATAATCCTTATTTTTAGATCCAGGGTTTTATTTTGGGGAGTTAAGTAGTGCGGCTGCTTTAATATTTAACAAATCCATATATTTTTATCTGCAGAACCCTTTTGACTTGTACTGAATCCCTTTTACCTTCTTCCATCCAAACAAAATAGCTGCTGGATTATGACCCAGCAACCCAGTTTTATTAATTTAGTTCTGCATGAAATATATGGCTGTCAAAATGCTAGGTTACCGTGATGTCACAAAATGATTTTTTTTTTCCACATTACGTCACATTTATCTAGTACAATTCAAACTAAACTCTTCGAGGAAAACAATCTAGAGAATAATAAAAAAAAAGTTGGTTAGCACAACAAACTAATACTTAGTTGAAACACATTTTGATTCATTTCAAGAATTCAGTCATCTTTGTTGAGTCTCTTAACATCCAGCATCTTTCACTTCCATAATATTTCAAAGGGGAAACAGAAATGCCGTTTTGTGCCCTTCTCAAATTGTGCCCAAATGAATAAATTGTGGTTTCACAAGATGTTCAGCAGTTTTAACAGTTCCTCAATTGTTTTAGACTTCTATCTTTAGATCTTAGATTTTAGTCCAGTGTAGTCATTAGTTGCCGTCTCTCTGGTCTGGGTTAGTTAAAATATTAACTGAGAAATGAGACACTGAGGCATCATCAGTTCTCACCGATTCCTCAGATGTAAAGTAAGGGGACTTGATATACACATATTAACGTATACTAATATACGTTAATATGTGTAAATGTTAACCCTGCAACATATATAATAATAGGTTCTTTTTAATCTCATTAAGTGCTAAAAATTATTACATATTAGACTGAATTAATATATTTGTTGTCTTGGTGAAATATTTTAAACTGACATGTAAAACAGTTAGAGACCAAAAGTCAAATATCTTAACACTTCAAACAAGACAGTGGGGTTATTTTTTGCCTTTAACAGTATGCTAACTTTGAAAGTATTAAGTTGTTAGACTTGAAAGCGGGCTCTTACCTTTTTGATTCCATGTGTGTCTCAGGAAAAACATAGTGCATTTTGGGTCTGGTTACTTTGCACCTACTCAGGAAACCCTGATAGAGTTTAGTCCTTAGTGTGAATGAGTAAAATGTAGAGTTAGGGCTAAGAAAGAGTTGGATTTGGCTTTTGTCTATCTTTGTAAGCACACTCCTGAGAAAATGCACATGGCTTAATGAGATACATGACTGAGTTTGTATAAAAAGCCAAAGCAGAGCTGATAAAATGTGTTTTTCTACAACGGAGGGATTTTGCTGATAAGTTCATATCTGCATGAATAAGTAGAAGTAGAGTAGCGGTTGCAAACAAGAGGCTCTCAGGAAAATTCATGAACAACTTAACTTTTTTATCAGATGATATCGAAAAGAAAGGGAAAAACCTAAACAGGACAATAAACTGAAACAACAGCAGTGTGACAGAAAAGTGTTGCGTTTTTCTGTCAGTGTGATCGGTGCTTATAGCTCAGCTTCAGGCTGTTTGCAGAAACAAGTGTGTCGTTTAACGCATGCATGCCTGGGCCTGAAGTCAAAAGCAATAACACAGGCCAAAGACATCTAAACTAAAAACACCCCTCCTTTACAGTAAACATGATCAATAAAATCTCAAAAACAACTTTAAAAAAATTAAGTAAAAAAAAAAAACATCCTATTAAAACTTACTTTAGATTAATAAATCAGATCACCATACTAGAGGTGTTTTTTTAAGTTAAATTCAAAAGGCAAAAGTCAAATTGTAAGAATTCATTAAGCAAAAAGTTATAGCTCAAAGCATTTATAAAATAATCTTTTCTATTACTTGAATTTTTTTTTTTTTTTTTTTTAAAGCAACGGCCCAGTCAAAAGTATTCCCCATGATGTTTTAGACATTTCTGTTTAAAACAGTGTCCTTTATTGGTCATCCGCTCCTATTGGTTTAAAACTATATTTCTCACAAATATGGCGTTACAGAAAATACGTTTTTTTAAACATCTATACATACATGCTTGCAATATATCACTATTTGTGAACAAAAGCTATATGAGTTTCACCAACCAGTCAGATTTTCCATACTTTTTTTTAAAACATAGTGGTCTATAGTTAAATACAAAATAAGCAGTATGCAAACTATCATAACACCAATAAATGCTAAAACAAGTAAATTAAATAAAAAAGTAACTGCTAGAATACAAACAAAACGTGCAACTGAGGAAACTTGGATACAAACATAAACAAATAACCAGAGATAAATATAAACCATATAAAAACATTGCATTCATAAAAAGTACTTCAAGCACAAGACAAATAGCACATTTATCGTTTGAGATACACCTGTCTTGTTAATTTTAAATCCAGTTTTGTGAAAATAACATTAAGAAGATTGTTATTACAGAAAACTACAGAAAATGGCATAATTAACAGAGAAAAACGGTGGCGTTTATAAAATAAAGGAATTGTTAGGTGTTGGGGTTGATTCTATTTCCCACTGGCAAACATTGAGCTCCATAAAAGCAGGTCCTTGTTTTTGGTCAACTTCCTCTGCCTATGAATCAACTGATTGGCAACAACTACATCAGTGAGGAGAAGAAAACCCATCGGCAAAAACTTTGCAGTTCATAAGAATGAATGACACAATTAGGAAGTGAAAATAAGGGTTACAAAACTGAGATGACCTTGTTTAAACTACCGTGCACAGCAACTGAAGGCACTGCGTCAGAAAATCAAACTATATTTAGTTAGTTTTAAAAAACAGCTCTTTTAAGGATTTTAGTCTGGAGACTTGTGATGAAAGGCTGTTGTTCGCAGCTCTTTAATCAAGAGCGTAACTCTTATCAGGTGTACTATCAAGCTTACACGGTAAACATTTTCAGCAAGCAACAGCTGAAAGACCTGCATTCCACAGATGTACCCATGTATTTGTTGCATAAATAGAAGAGAGATCACTTCAAGGGCAGGGGGTGTATTACACAAAGCCTAACCTACAGCAAACTGCACCCTGATTCACTCCAGGGGAATAAAAAATGTGGGACGACCCAGAGATTTATGAGTCAAAAAGGAAACAATGCACGTTCTAGAATGAAAGCCAGAACCGGTATGTTTACAGAATGCTCTTGGACGATAAGGAGGAGGACACGGAGGGAAATGAGTAGGGGGATTTGAATCAGCTGAAAGGGCAAAAATGCGAGATGGGCAGAAAAGAGGAGGAGAACAGGAACTGAAATAACATCCTGGGTGATTCGAAGAAACACTGTGGCATTCAATCACTGGGTATGCTGGTGAGAGAGTTCCCACATTACGAAACATACCATGAGGGTCACTTCATCTTTTGTATTTAAAAAAAAAAAAAAAAAAAAAAATCTTTTTTATAGGTGTCCAGTTAATGTAACCAATTCCATTTACCAGTGGTAACAATATATATCTCAAGCATTTTGTTGCCGTTGATTTAAAATGAAGATGGTTTATAAGTAATGTGAATCCAAAATGCAGTTTTTTTTTTTAAATGGATATTAT